AGCAATCCCAGTGTCCCCAATGTCCCCGTGGATTAATCCAAGTCTCCTCATGGGGGGATCCAGGACCTTTGGGCCGTTCCACATCCCCAGAGGGGTGACCCCAGCCCCCCCGAGCGGTGTCCCCAAGGTGCCACCACCCCATCCCAGTGTCCCCAATGTCCCCTCGGGCCAGTCCAAGTCTCCTCGGGGGGGATCCAGGAGCTTTGGGCCGTTCCACATCCCCAGAGGGGTGACCCCAGCCCCCCCGAGCGATGTCCCCAAGGTGCCACCACGCCCCTTTTGTTGTCCCCAACAGGTTCCTGGTGGCCGTGCCGGCGGTGGCCTCGCGGGGGGTGTCCCTGCACAGCGGGCGCCCCCCGCCCTGGGCGCAGCGGCAGCGGCAGCGCCTGGAGCAGCACCTGAGGGAGGAGCTGCGGGCACGGGGGGCACACCTGGCACAGGGGCTGCACACGCACTTCCCCGACCCCCGGCTGGTGCAGTACGACTGCGGTACGGGGACACCGGGGGGACTGGGGACACCGGGGGGACATTGGGGGGATCGGGGACATTGGGGGGATCAGGGACATCGGGGACATTTGGGACATCATTAGGGATTGGGGACAGCGGGGACACTGGGGACACCGGGGACACCGGGGGGACTGGGGACACCGGGGACACCGGGGGGACTGGGGACACCGGGGACACCGGGGGGACTGGGGACACCGGGGACACCGGGGGGACTGGGGACACCGGGGACACCGGGGGGACTGGGGACACCGGGGACACCGGGGGGACTGGGGACACCGGGGACACCGGGGGGACTGGGGACACCGGGGACACCGGGGGGACTGGGGACACCGGGGACACCGGGGGGACTGGGGACACCGGGGACACCGGGGGGACTGGGGACACCGGGGACACCGGGGGGACTGGGGACACCGGGGACACCGGGGGGACTGGGGACACCGGGGACACCGGGGGGACTGGGGACACCGGGGACACCGGGGGGACTGGGGACACCGGGGACACCGGGGGGACTGGGGACACCGGGGACACCGGGGGGACTGGGGACACCGGGGACACCGGGGGGACTGGGGACACCGGGGACACCGGGGGGACTGGGGACACCGGGGACACCGGGGGGACTGGGGACACCGGGGACACCGGGGGGACTGGGGACACCGGGGACACCGGGGGGACTGGGGACACCGGGGACACCGGGGGGACTGGGGACACCGGGGACACCGGGGGGACTGGGGACACCGGGGACACCGGGGGGACTGGGGACACCGGGGACACCGGGGGGACTGGGGACACCGGGGACACCGGGGGGACTGGGGACACCGGGGACACCGGGGGGACTGGGGACACCGGGGACACCGGGGGGACTGGGGACACCGGGGACACCGGGGGGACTGGGGACACCGGGGACACCGGGGGGACTGGGGACACCGGGGACACCGGGGGGACTGGGGACACCGGGGACACCGGGGGGACTGGGGACACCGGGGACACCGGGGGGACTGGGGACACCGGGGACACCGGGGGGACTGGGGACACCGGGGACACCGGGGGGACTGGGGACACCGGGGACACCGGGGGGACTGGGGACACCGGGGACACCGGGGGGACTGGGGACACCGGGGACACCGGGGGGACTGGGGACACCGGGGACACCGGGGGGACTGGGGACACCGGGGACACCGGGGGGACTGGGGACACCGGGGACACCGGGGGGACTGGGGACACCGGGGACACCGGGGGGACTGGGGACACCGGGGACACCGGGGGGACTGGGGACATCATCAGGGACTGGGGACATTGAGGGGATCAGGGACATCGGGGACATTTGGGACATCATGAGGGATTGGGGACGTGGGGGACACTGGGGGGGGTTGGAGACATTGGGGACACTGGGGGGGATTGGGGACACTGGGGATATCAAGGACATTGGGGACATCATCAGGGATCGGGGACATCAGGGACACTGGGGTTGTTTTGGGTCTGGGGGTCACAGGAGCGCAGGAGGAGTCAGGGGGACATTGGAGACTTTGGGGACATTGGGGGCATTGAGGGGATTAGGGACATTGGGGACATCATCAGGGATTGGGGACATCGGGGAAGTCAGGGGGACATTGGAGACTCTGGGGACATTGAGGGGATCAGGGACATCGGGGACATCATCAGGGACATCGGGGACATTGGGGGGTTGTTGACACTGGGGACACTGGGGACATCATCGGGGATTGGGGATGTTGGGGACACTGGGGTTGTTTTGGGTCTGGGGGTCACAGGAGGAGTCAGGGGGACATTGGAGGCTTTGGGGGTCTTGGGGACACCGGGGACATTGGGGGGATCAGGGACACTGGGGACATTTTGGGTCTGGGGGTCACAGGAGGGGTCAGGGGCACATTTGGGGACATTGGGGACAGGGGGTGCTGAAGGGACCCCACACCCAATTCTGCAACCCTCACCTGTCCCTCACCTGTCTCACACCTGTCCCTCACCTGTCTCACACCTGTCCCTCACCTGTCCCTCGCCTGTCCCTCGCCTGTCACACCTGTCTCACCTGTGTCTCACCTGTCCCCTCCTGTCCCCACCTGTCTGTATCTCAGTTTTATCTCACCTGTCTCACCTGTCCCTGCTGCCATCTCAGTGTCACCTGCTGCCCTCCCTGTCCCTCACCTGTCCC